AGGGCATGCAGGGAGGTGGGAGACAGCAGGCAGCTGCAGCAAGAGCCTGGAGCTCCCCCTGGTGGTGACAGGGGCCCATTGCAGGGCCCCAGGAAGCAGGAGCAGGTTGGCAGCAAATCTGTTCCCACTTGCTACATGTGGAGACATTTGCCCAGCACCATTTATTCACAAGTAATTTACTCACAAGTAAACTGGTGCCACAGCAAATGCACATGTAGACATGCCCACAGTGGCAGATAAAGCAGGGAGTAGAAGGCAGAGCAGCAGATTGGGCAGGGAAGGAAATTGGAGTGGCACTAAGGGAGGGTATGAGGGCTAATTTGTGATGCACCTGCTAAAAACATTGCCCCTCCTATGACTAAGCCCATAGCTGCCTCTGGTTAAAATTAAAGGCCCCCCACAGCTCCCACCCCCAGCCCTGCTGGTGCCCCTCACTCCCCCCTACAGCTCCTCCCAACCCTGCTTGTGCCCCTCACTCCCCCCACAAAATACCCCCAGCCCTACTGGTGTACTCAGGCAAGGACAAGGCTGGCTTCCAGCTGCAGCACCCACTCCTAGGAGGCAGGAGGAACTCGCGCCCCCGCAGATCTTTCAAGGGGTGGGGGCAGGGCAGGTGCGTGCTGTGGGCTCGTGCTCCCGGCTCTGCTGCCCTCCCCCAGGGCCTCCGCAGCGCAGCATGTGTGACCCAGCACAGCACAGCTGGGATGCACAGGAAAGCAGTTTCCCTCTGTGAGCTCCACAATGCCCTGGCAACACTTCCCCTGCAAGCAGGGGCAGCAGCGATGAGCACATCCCTACTCTGCTGCCCCCATTCCCCCATGCACACAGGGGAAGTGCGGCCAGGGCAGCACAGAGCTCACAGCAGCAAGCAGGTTTCCTGCACAGCTCCACTGTGCTCTTCCACACCGGGTTGTACACACTGTGCTGCGCAGGCCCCAGGGGAGGGCAGCAGGGAGGGGAGCGTGAGCCCACAGCACACACTTGCCCTGCCCTGCGCACAGATCTGGGGGACCCCCCCACTCCCCAGGAGGCACGCTGAGGTGTGGAGCCTGCCCAACCCCCCACCCCCAGATAAGCCTGGCCCCCAGTGCATGGATGGGGAGCTGTGCACTATCGGCAGAGAGGGCTCCACGCCTCCTCGTGGGGCTTCCCACACTCTTGGGGGAACCACACATGGAGGCACAAAGCCCGCCCAGATCAGCCTGGCCCACTCTGCGGTAATTGGACTGGTAGCTGTGCACTATCAGGTTCAGCCAGCTGTGAGCTCCTGTGTGGCTTCTCTGAAGCCACACACAGAATCACAGAGCCTGCTCAGGCCAATAGTGCGCAACTCCCAATCCATGCACCCCCAGCTGGGCAGACCCTCCATTCAAATGCAGCAAAACCTATGCCAACTTTCCAACTCCTTCATCCACAATTAAAGTCAGATTCGATTTGCTGCACTGGAATCCTTCTCAGCTCCTTCACATATAACAACTACACCCATTCACACCTATTTACCAACAGCAGCAGCAGATTTATTTATCTCCCTGTTCACTCAGCCTGCTTCTCCCAATATCATAGAATCATAGAACTAGGCTCGGAAGGGACCTTGTAGATCTTCAAGTCCAACCCCCTGCCTGTAGTAGACCCCCACTGTTAAATCCCTCTTGCCATGACCCCCTTGTATCTTGACCCAGAGCACTTCAGCTTGCCCCTTCTCGGACCCCATTTTGCTGGCAGAGGATGTGTATTGCTCTTTGACATAGAGCGCCACCCCCCCTGCCTTCCTTCCTTCTCTATCCCACCTGTAGAGCCTATAGCCCCTAATGCTAACTACCCAGTCGTGGGATGAATCCCACCATGTTTCTGTAAGTCCTACTATGTCTGGGTTTGAACTGGCTATTCTGAGGGCGAGTTCCTCCTGTTTGTTCCCCATACTACAAGCATTGGTATATAGGCATTTAAGGCCTTGCATAGCTGCGCGTGCCACCCCCTGATCAGGAAGACTATCTGGACCCCTGTTTCTTACCTGGGCACTCCTTGCATGTGTCACCTGTCTTGCTCGGGTGGTGTCTCCATGTCTTCCTGTGGCCCCCTCCCCTGGCGAAGCTAGTTTAAAGCTCGCCATACGACATCAGCCAACCTGGAAGAGAAGACACGCTTGCCTTTAGGAGAGAGGTGAAGCCCATCCCACCCCAGTAAGTCCCCCACCCAAAAGCATGGGTCATTATCTAGGAACCCAAGGCCCGCCTAGCGGCACCAACTCCGTAAGCACCGGTTGACCTCACCAATACAGGCCTCGTGTCACCATCCCCTCCTACTCACCAGAAGAAGAGAGGAGAATACCACCTGGGCCCCCCATGGGGAGGAGAGGACAGGAGAAAAGAGAGGAGAATACCACCCGAGGCCCCCTGAGCCTTGAAGTCCTTTATAATGTGGTCAGGGTTGCCCCTGGCCGCGTCGTTCATTCCCACATGGATGACAACCATGGGGTACTGGCCTGCAGGTCGGATGTAGGCCGGGATCCTCTCCGTGATGTCCTGAACCCAAGCCCCAGGCATGAAGCAGAGCTCCCACATCCCGTGAAATATATTTGACAAGACTCATTTTGCCCTTGTTCTCATTCATGCTTGTATCTGCTTTGCACATGCATTCCCCCATTTTCTATAGTCCAACTAGGAGAGTCCCTGTGATACTCAAATTAAACTTTTAATTAAGGAATTACACACTGGGCATGCCTACATGTGCAATTAATGCTAAGAAAGAGTACTGCACAGTAAAATAGCACAGTAAGCTTTCCCTGAGTGTACATCTACATATGCGTACTTTGGAAGCAAATTTGCTCCCAAAGGGAGCAGTTCAGGGCAAGGATACTCCTGCCCTGCTCTGCTAGTATATGGAAGCCACGGGGAGCTCTAGGCTCCCCCAGGTGCCAGCCCCATGCTAGCATGGGGCACCGGTGCCAGGCCGAGGCTCTGGAGGGTGGGGGGAGTTGTCCCGCCTATAAGGCAGCTGTCTTAGCTGCCTGTTGCCTAATCCCGACTCTGCTTACACACCCTTCCAATTACACCATTCTCATTCCCAATGGAAGATATTAGTACAAAGCCAAAAAGCTAATAATTTGCTATATAGTTCATTGACCTGGGCCCCAACAGAGTCAACAGCATTTCAGACCATGGTGACCCAGTAGCTCAGTGTGTGTTCTAGATATCCCCACAAAGTATCCACATGCTGATTAGCCCCCGCTTATGATTGGAACCAGGTGTTCCTATCACAGGTCCTGGACTCCTCCAAATATTTATATGCAGATAAGGGACAGGGTAACCTTGTCTGTGTCTACCTCAGTAAGGATGGAGCCACAATAATCATATATGCCAGGCTGAGAGATGGAGCTAGAGAGGGATCTGGGTGAACTGTTTGGGGTCCTGTTTGGTGATGTTTGCCAGACATTTAAGGCTGATGAATAAACAGGAATCACTGGAAATGGGAAAGAAAAGCACTTCTCTGCTGTAGGAGAAAAGAGGAAGTCAAAATATATTCAATGCAGTGGCTCACCATAGGTTGAAAAAGAGTTAGTGCTTGAAGGGGACTGAGCACAATGGGCATAGGCAGTGTTGTCAAATCAGCTTATAACAAGCAGAATTGGGCTTCTTATTTTTTTTAAAGTCACTTTACTTTTTTGAGAGTCACAAGTTGACAGGTACCCCCTCTTTTTTAAATGGGTTGCACTTGTTTGGGGTTTGTTTTTAAAGGCAGTACCGCTTTTATTTCTCGCAAGACTTGGCAACACTGGGCATAACCATATATCTTATTCAGATAGATTGCATTGATATATTCTTGTGGTAGGGTCCTATCAGTATGTTTGCCCAGTATGAGCCATGTGTCTTATAACCGTGCTCAGTGTTGGCTGCTTTTAATCAGCTTCATAATTGGTTTCCATTACTGAGCTCATGCTACTTTTGACAGCAGTTTATTGATAGCCTGTGTATTTAATGAAGTTTCTTAGTATCTGGATGTAAGAGGAGGAGTGTTTTTCCCCCATGCTGATTGTGGGGAAAAAACCTTATCTTATATTTGAGTAAAAATGGTACTTTAATTTTTCATTGACATCAAATGCATTATCTTATCTCTCAGTTCAGATACCAGAACATCATTATGTACTTTTAAATGTGTTTGAGTAAAATTGCCATTTCTTTTCTTCCCCTGAACAACCAGTTTGGTTTCCTCCCAATTTGCTTGGCTACGTACAGGTGTAATTTCCAAGTCCTCTGCCTCTGACAAAGAAATCTATAGAGTATGTGTAAACGGTGGTACTTCTCATATATTTCCTGTTGTTCAGGAAATGATAGACACAAGACAGTTGAATAATTATTTTTTAAGCTTTGTGGTAGACTATATTTATATATTAATAACTTATTAACCACTATCCTTTACCCATGTACTGATTGTCCAATAATACGTTTATCAAAATATGTATGACATCTCACATAGAAAAACAACACAGACCAGCTCTGAAAAAACACAAACACACTAAGAGTAAGTAAGGGATACTGTGCACACTCCTAGTGATATAGCTTCTCTAGTTCTCTAGTCCTGTGCCTGAGCTCAACCCATCTGTTGGTTTGTGTTCCTATTTTACAATGATTACAGGAAGTCCATGGGCTAAGTACAGATAGTCAAAAAGCCCAAGGCTGAATCATTTCAATCTTCACAGGTTAGTCTAAGCTGCATAGATTGAACTGATAAGCAAGTGATTACATTCACTTGTGATTCCAGAAATGCAGCCACATGCCTGCAGTGGCCCAGGCCAGACACTAGAGCATGCCTCCCTACTCAAGTGGAGCAGAAAGCTTGGGCCAAGGCTAGTCTGTCCACCCTGTGGAGTGGAGAGGGAGAGGTTGTGTGGGAGATGCAAAGAATCCTGGGATGCTGAGAAACTGAGTTAACTTGAATCTGGAGGGGATCTGGGACAGAAGTTCAATGAAACCAATTTAACCTAAATCAGTTAAGTCTGATACTACATCCATCCAGGTTTATCTTAAACTAGTTTCAGTCACTTTGGAAGTGATTTATATGCACTGAACTGCTGTTGTGTACATATTTGAACCAGTTGCCGATCACTTATACCAGTTTATGTGCAATTTCTGTCCTTAACCATGAAGATTTCTTTCTCCCCTGTCCCATCACCAACATTTCTCTGTGTCTTCTTCAGTTGGCTTTTTCCTCTGCCTTTTTTCCAAGTTACAGCATTTCAGAAAGATGTAATATTCCTTAAAATTCTATCACTCAGGCAAATAAGCTGGCAGTCTCCTTCCTCCATTTACAGCAAGTAACATGTTAGGAGTGAAAGAGAGGCTACTAAAAGTCCTTTCTCTACTAGGCTCAGGCCAATATCCCATCCATTCATGTCACTAAATCCAGCAAAAGCAGCAAATGGTGACTTGCATTTAGAAAAAAGATAAATTTAAATATTTTAATCCCCTAATCATACTAAAATTAATTTTATCCAATTCTGCAGTCCCCTAGACAAGGCTTATTTATCTCCCAGAGTCCACCATAGTCTCCAATGGTCTCTGCAGCTGTATGTTGAAAGGTTCCCCATGAAGAATTGTAGTTTTCTTATCCATGCAGATAGGCAGCAAGCCAGTGTTCCCCAGAATCCTTCAAGGAGCTGCAAAAGCAAAATGAGAGAGAGAGCACATCCAATTAATCAGGGGGTTGGAAGATGATATTAATGTTGGAAAGTGGCAATCTGCTTCTTGGTTTCAGTGGAGAAAGTGGGAAGAAAGATGAAAAAATAATGTTGTGAAAGAAGCATTTTTGGAAAGGAAGAGGTGGGAGACAGATTGAAACCACGAGTAACAGGGGGGACAGAGGTGAATCTAGGGGAAGGGGGCATGCAATAGTGCAATTGCACCTCTTCTTTGATTCCTGGTTCTCCCAAAGTTTAAAACCAAATGCCTGGTGGTGGCGGCAGCATTTATATGCAGGTAGCAGTGATGGGGTTAATTGATTTCAAGGCTCATTGTAATCTACCTGATTCCTTCTATATGTTTAATTCCACATGTGTTAATGACCCGCTCTCCTTTTTAATGATTTCAAAGTTCAACTAACCAAGCTATTGTTTTTCTGCAAGTCTGCTGTCTGTTAGCTGCTCCTGGATACTATCCTGCTTAACATAATTTTCTGATACTTTCATTCTTATCTGCACCTTAGTTAAACAGTCATGTGTATAGCTTCACTACTGACAGTAGATCCAGTGACAAAGTAAAGCAAATAATGGTTGAGGATGATGTCCAAGGACTCAAGTACAGAAATCTTCCCTGTACTAATGTGCCCAGAACTGGCTGCAGAATACTGGAAGGAGTCCTGACATTACTATTTCACAGCTTTGCAGTCCTGGCACTCCTATTTCCTGTTTCTGAATTATTTGCTCATGTAGACGTGCCCAGTGAAGCACTGAATGCACTGTCAGGGTGGTCAAGAAGGCTAGATTTTGTTTTATGAATCTGAAAATTGGATATATATTTTATTCCAATGACTACAAGATGAATGAAGCAACAACTTTTGATTATTTTTAACTAGGTTGCTGTGGGGGTTTTTAAATACACAACGGGTGCCTCTACACAAGACACTATGGCACTGTAGCATCTGTTGGCAAAATCCGTGATGCTACTACTACATTGCCTTAACAACGTACTCCCTTGCTATGGCAATATAGTGGCCAAAGATAGCCATGCACTGCTGACACAGACTTTTTTATACTTCCAATGGGTGCTTCTACACATGCATTAATGTGCTGTAGTTACTGTGCATTAAGTTTAGTACTTGTATAACCAAGCACTAAATCAACACGCAGTAACTGGTACTACTGAGCAGTAGCGCCAGCACACAGCTTTTTAGTGACACTAACTGTGCAATACCCTAATACTACTGCACAATAGCATGTTAGCATGGGTTGTGCCCTGCACACTACTGCACAGTAGAATTAGGCTACTGCACAGTTAGCATCTTGTGTAAATGCACTCAATGTAAGATAGACCAAATTAATTAATATTCGAATACAATCACACATTTTTTAACTTAAACAGAATAATATAGCCCTAGGCTCCTAACATATTATTAAGGCCTCTAGTTTCTTTTTAACTAAAGAAAAATGTATTCTGTTATGTGATGATGTATCACACACACCATCTTCACCATAAATCAACACGCAGTAACTGGTACTACTGAGCAGTAGCACCAGCGCACAGCTTTTTAGTGACACTAACTGTGCAATACCCTAATACTACTGCACAATAGCATGTTAGCATGGGTTGTGCCCTGCACACTACTGCACAGTAGAATTAGGCTACTGCACAGTTAGCATCTTGTGTAAATGCACTCAATGTAAGATAGACCAAATTAATTAATATTCGAATACAATCACACATTTTTTAACTTAAACAGAATAATATAGCCCTAGGCTCCTAACATATTATTAAGGCCTCTAGTTTCTTTTTAACTAAAGAAAAATGTATTCTGTTATGTGATGATGTATCACACACACCATCTTCACCATCCTTTTCAAAATCCTAGATCCGCCCATGTAGGGGGACCATAAAGTTGGCAAAATAAGTGAATGAGAATGGGATGGAAGCAAAAAGGGGAGAAGTTATGGTTTCCCTGAAAAAATAAATATAATGGTACAGAGCCAGTGGGGGTTGAGGGAGTTGATGGCAGAGATAGACTGAGGAGGGACGTGGATGTGAAGGGTCACCATGTAGACAGAGGTTCAGTAGAGCTACTTGGTCAGTCAGGAGAGGGGAAACCAAAAGAGTTCACATAATTGGAAAAATGTGGACAAAGAGAGTAGAAGAACATGAATGATTCCTTTCATCTGAATAGTAGTGTCAGGACTCCTCCCGGTATTTTGCAGCTAGTTCTGGGTGCGTTAGTACAGGGAAGGTTCCTGGTTCTTGAGCCTTGGGCTGTCATTCTCTGAACCATTATTTGCTTTACTTTGTCACTGGATCTACTGTCAGTAGTGAAGCTATACACATGATTGTCCGCAGAATCAGGGACTTGATTAAGGTGTAGTAAGTATTAAGAATGAAAGTAAGTATCAGAAAATTATGGCAAGCAGGATAGTATCCATAATAGAACATTTTCATTTCTGCTGGTTGTACTGGTTAAAATAAAAGAGGAAAGGAAAAATAAAAGCCTCTTTTTTGGATCAACTTAGAGTTTATGATATTTCTGAAAAGTTTTCAGGAAAATTGAATTTAAACAATTGCTCAATCTTCTGTCTTTTCACATATTTTGCTGGTCATTTAAATAAAGGATTAAGTTTTGGGTTTTTTCATTTTATATTTTCTTCTGTTTCTGTTGTACTGCATTGTATTTCATGCTTATACTCCTTTTTTAGGTTTTCATTTTTTGATATTGGTTCTGGAAACTTTTTCATCTGTGGATGTCAAATTCAGAGTATTTATTTGGAGGATTTTTATTTATTTGTTTGTTTATTTATTGTAGCATTGCCTACTTTGGGTAATCTGCTTCTATGGTAATTTTTTATCAAAATCCAACAAATTCCATCTATTAATTACATTTTTTAAAATTACTACATGAGGTTAATTACATTCAAATGTAAAATGCCTTAATAGTTTCTATTAAAATGTATAAAATGTGAACTATGATTTAGCTAAAAAATGAAGGCTGCTTTCTGTTTGTTGTGAATTCTTTTAAAATATCTTGAACTTAAGCTCTATGTTTAATTTAAAAAGGAAGAAAAATATTTCTAATTACAATCAAATGAAACATCTCTGAAAAAAATGACAGGGTAGCCATATTTTCTTAATTTCCCCTTCTGTCATCTCTCTATCTATATTTCTTAATATGTACTTTTTGGATCAATTATCCTTTCTATGGACTTTAGGAATTCTCCTGCCAGTGGCCCAAATCCATTTTGCATGTGAGCTGGCTACTGAACCTGCAAGGTGCCTACAGAAAACAAATTGCAGTTTAGGGCCTAAAGATATATTTTTCAAAAACCCCTTAGAACCTAGTTGAACTGATTTGGGCTCCAAACTGCTCACAGCACTTTTTAAATTGGGACTTTGAAGAAATTAAGAAATTTTGTCAATGCTATCCAAGAAATTAAGATGATTTTGTAAATGTTATCCTTTGGGTTTCATTTTAAATACTCAGTGAAAAAAATTAAGTAACAATGACTGTCGTTTATTTTTAATCCCATTCTTGGTTTTACATGGAAGTTGAACTGAAATATCTGTTTAGGCACCCTACTGTCCATTTGCCAAAGTATTTACAGGAGTGGTGAATATTACACTCAGTGTCTGCATCCAGATGAGCAGGAAAGTGAGCTTGCAGTAACCCAAATAGTAATGCCACTAATGTGTGCCAGTACTTTGTGCCACAGTGCATGCCCCCCTACATGTAGACCTTGTTCAGGACACATTGCCCCGCTGTCAGCCAACTGTCTGGGCCCAGCTCCTCCTGGCTCTCAGCCAGGCTCCATGTGCTATGAGCTGGCACTGGCTGGGCACAGGGTGTCTCACTGTGGGACTAGCCAGCAGGCACCCTGCACCCCAGCTAGCTGGGGAGTGGTACACAAAGACAGGGGAGCAGCCAGCCCAGAGCTGCCTTCTCCCGTTTCCCCACATTTGTCCTGGCTCACAGTATTTTGGCATGCTTTGTGCCGGTTTACTTTCCAGAGGGGTATTTTGCTACCGGGAAATCCCAGTAGCAACTTTGCCCCCACACTGCAAATTAGCAGCACCGTGCACAATTTAAGAGATTTGTGGCACCACAAACTACATATGCCTGCAGATGTGGACACAGCCTGTATTTGCAGGGAGTTTCACAATCGGTAACCTTCTGGCCTAACTATTTATACACAGCTTTCCATTAGGGGTATTTAAGAGGAGGCTAAGCTTTTTTTTTTTTTCTTTTTAGGGCAGACAGCAGTTTCAGGTATTTAGGACTAGTTTGAGAGTTTGGAAGGTATTGATATTTGAGGTCTAGAGAGCAGGTCATACAAGAAAAGGCTGAAAGACTTGGGACTGTTCAGCCTGGAGAAGAGAAGACTCAGAGGGGACTTGATGGCAATCTGTAAGTATATTAGGAGCGTACATGAGGGCCTGGGAGAGCATCTGTTCACCAAGGCCTGCCAGGGGAAGACAAGAAACAATGGGCACAAACTGATTGAAGGTTTCTTCAGACTCAACATAAGGAAAAACTTATTTACAAGTCGAGTGCCAGCGGTTTGGAACAGGCTCCCCCAAAGGTGGTACAGTCACCCACCCTGGTGATCTTCAAAAAGTGTCTTGATGCCCACCTTGCTGGAGTCATCTGACCCCAGCAATCTTTCCTGCCTAGTGCAGGGGGCTGGACCCAAGGATCTTGTAAGGTCCCTTCCAGCCCCTAACATCTATGAATCTATGATAATACAATCTGGGGCTGAACAGATGACACATAGTGAAAAGGTCCACATCATAGACCCTAAAACCCTGAGCTTCTGAATCCCATCTACAGACTAATTTCTCTGTTAACTCACTTTAATCCTCTCCCAAACTTCTCCTACATTGCAGCCATTGACCGTGCCTAGCTATGCTCTATAGTCAAAACCATTCTCTTAATTGACACTTACTGCAAAATGTCTGCAAAAGCAGTGAGTAAAGTCTTGGATTTGTACTCAATGCCATGCGTGGCACAGAGGGATTTCACCAAGGGGGCCACCTTCCAGTAGTTGTGTCGAGGCATCGTAGGGAAAAGGCTGTGAAGAGAAAAGAGAGACAAGACTTTGCTTCCCTCTTCCTATTTGTCCCAAAAGAATCTCCTCTCTCCCCATGGTACCAAACTGATTAAACATAGGAACATAAGAAATGCCATTTACTGAGTCGGACCATAGGTTCTTCTAGCCAAAGTATCCTGTCTCACACAGCAGCAGAGTTAATGCTGGAAGAGGATGAGGTACACAGAGAGTGAAAAGGTTACGTCCAACATTTTCCATTCCCTGCTCCTCTCCTACCAAAGCTTTCAGCACTCAAAGGTTAAAGAAGTTCTGATTCAGAGGCTGCACTCTTACCTATCATTAATGGACCATACCTCCAGGAATTGTTCCAATTCCCTTTTGTACTTGGTTAATTTTCCAGCCTCTGTAGCATCTTGTGAAAATGAATTCTACAAGTTGATTACATACTGTGCTTAAAAGAACTTCCTTTTATTATTTTTGAACCTACTGCCTCAGGGTTTAATTTTAGGTCCCCTAGTTCTCATATTGTGAGAGAGAGAAAATAATAAATCCCTATTTACTTTCTCTGCACCATTTCATAATTTTGTGGAGAAAAATTCTATCCTATTTTGTCTCTTCTCTGCAGAAGTTCCTCACTATGAGCAGAGCACTAGTCATCCTCACTGCTTTTCTTTTTACCCTTTCTAGTTCTTCTATATCCTTTTTGAGCTGTGGAAATACAAACTTCACACCATTCTCCAGGTGTGGCCACCCCATACATATATAAAGGAACATAATGATACTTTTCCCCTATGCATATGGCTTCTCATTTGGGTGCTGGATAATCTTACTCAGAGATACCCCTTACATCCCCATTTCTCTCCCCATACCCATACTCACTGGTGCTCAATTTGGAAATTCAGGTGCCCAGTAAACCAGTCATTGAACCAGGATTGGTTCACATTGCATGTTGCCTGAAGCTGGGAGTAGAAAATAAAGAGAAACAAACGTTCCATTTTAATTCTGTCTAGACATCAATATAATTGAGCACCTGCCCTTCACGCACATTTTCCCTTGCCTTGAATGGATATCTGATATGGGGGATTGGAGCTGTCACTCTTTTGAACACAGGAACAAGGTCTGGGTGAGAATGATATGCTGCAATATGAGATAGTTATTGCCTTAGCCCACTGGAACTAATGGAATTGCATTTTCTTCAGGATCTACATAGATCTGTCTATAAAACCCCATAAAAGGTTTACCTCACAGCTCCCATTTGAGTAGGCAGGAAAGATGTACATTGAAGGATAAGAAATAGTTATTCTGAATTCTCTCCACTATTTCAGCTGGAGCAGAATTAATTATGTAATTATACCGGTAGTATATTTATTGATATTTATTAACCCACATATTAATGAAAAATGATCCCCTAGTGTAGATATGGTTATTTTAATATAATAAAGGGCTTAGTCTGTCTCTGTGTGTGTCTGTCTGTGCGTCTGTCTGTCCGTAACACTTTTGGGCAACTGCGCACGCTCCGCTTCCTCGGGCAGGGAGGGAGCCGCCACCACCACTGCCTCCTCAGGAGGAGGTGGAGGCAGGCAGGTGGGCAGAGGGAGGAGCTGCCACTGCTGCCACCATCGCTTTAGGTGGAGGGAAGCCCCACTGCTCCGTGGGAGGAGGCAGAGGCAAAGGAGGGTGGGTTGGGGGGAGGAAGCCACTGCCACCACTGCTGCCACTGCTGCCACCTAAGGCACAAAGAAGCCCTGCAGCTCCATGGGAGGAAGCGGGAGGGTGGGCAGGCTGGGGGGTGGGAGCTGCCACCACTGCCTCAGGCAGAGGGAAGCCCTGCTGCTCCATGGGAGGAGGTGGAGATGAGTGGGTGTGGAGGAGGGAGCCACTGCTGCCACCTCCTCAGATAGAGGGAAGCCCCGCTGCTCCACCGGAGGAGGCGGAGGCAGGAGGGAGTCACCATGCCAGAGGCTGGAGGAGGAGGCAGCAGGAGCGGAGGCACTGTTTACATGGTCGGCCCCCAAGGGTGAGTGGAGCATGGGAGAGGGGGGCATGTAAACACTCCCTTAAACACTCTGTCATTCATGATGGGCAATTGGCTAGTACTTTCATTTTGTTCCTTATTTCACTACATCACGATTCCTCAAATAATAATTAAAAAAAAAAATTCAATCCAAGATGAATCCAGTTATTTCTCCTTATTTGGGGCAAGCAGGGAAGTCACAGCGTTGGTCTTAGAATTAATATTAGTCAAGGAAAATTTGAGGAAAGTTTTGTCAACTTGACAACAAGTTTTGTCACTGAAAATTAGGAAAGTTTTCACAAAAAATATCACATTTTCAAATCAGTTTGTTAAAATGCATTTGCTACAACTGTCCTTTAAATTTGGAGGCCCATTATGATTTTTCATCTACATCACAGAAAGAAACCCCCAGTCCAAATTAGAGTTACAGCTCCTAGAACAGGAGTCTGTGACTTCAAATTCACATCTGCAGACCCCAAGTGTCAAGGAGTGGAGAGGATCTTACCTGAGTAGATACCCAGTCCAAGTTCTGATCATAATCAATGTGCATTGGGATGTGATTCATTTGTGAAACCCAGATAAACCAGGTGCTCTCTAGGTACCTGAGCAGACAAATATACATACACACATATACAAATACAACCTTCATTGCCAATCTATTCCAAATTGACTGTTAATAGGTCCATTTTCTTGCTTGGAAAAACAGTGATTTTCTAGTAGCTGGTTCTAAAAGTAACATTTGTAATACACTGGAAAAATTCCCCCACTCAAACTCAAATCATGTTTTCTATTGATTATACAATAACATTACTTTGTAGTGCAGGATTTTCAATCCCATCATTTCTACATCCCAATTTTTGGTGGCTCTTTGGAGCATCACTACATTTTTACCAGAGAACATCACTCAGTGACCCACAGTGATTCCCAGCTCCTTTCTTGCTTGACTATAGTTAACTTAGAAATCAACAATGGAGGTGAATAGTCTTATATTATTCCTTCCAATATTGAAACTGCTAAAAGTGACAACAGGCAAGGGATGAACTAGCAGCAAAATGGACAAAAAAGGCAGCAAATATTACCTGGCCAGCCAGTAGTATGCCATGAAGCTCTTAAATCCCATTAAGGGAACATACATAAGACAGACCCGGATGTTGTAGGTTACAATCAAGAACAATTCCTGACAAAAGATTGAAAGAAGGATTCATCCACATTGCACCCTCCTTCTCATTCTTGCACAAGCCAAACTATGGCACAAAAATTTGTTCTTTGTAATATACCATGTCTCTCAAATGTAGCTCCACTTGTTTCCCTGACCCAGTGGAAGTCAAGCCCTAGCAAATGTTCCTGTAATCTCCAGTCACCCTTGCACATGGTAGCTCTCATCCATCAACTTTTATGTGACTGGGGAACCATATTCTCACAAAAACTGGCTGAGCCATATCCAGTTCCATTAAAACAGGCCCAGGCTGACTCCTACATTCTAGACCCCATTATCACTTCCCATGTATGATGAGGATTGCAAGGGGACAGAGGTTAATAGAAGAAGGGATATACTGTGGCTACATTTTGCAAAGGTTTCTGAGTAATGCTCAGAATACTTACCAACCACTTCCTTCTTTTGATTGAGAAATAGATTACAATGAACTGGAAGAAGGGAACTAGGAAAGCTGGGGCCAAAACTGGAGGAAAGAACAAGAACAATATATCAATCACATTCTAGAATCATTAATCACAAATAAATCTATTCCAGCTTTTTCTAACATGTTTTATCTCCCCTCTTACTCCATTCATCCTCCCACCTCAAATTCTCCTCCTTTTCTCTTTCCTTTAACAACTTTTTATCCCTTATTTCTTTCTCTCTTACAGTTGCTGCATGCTACTTTTCCAAACAGACATGTGCAGGTTAACAAACCTTCCCAATCCATACTACTTTCCAAAATACTAAGATCACCCATCGGGCTGCAACATAAAAGGAAATATTTCTTCTCCTCCTCTTCAGAGGAAGCTGTAGTCAGTCCTAGGAGAGGTCCTCAAGTTACTTCAGGAAACTGAAGATACTCACAGCTGAAGTATTTGTGTTGATGGTTATAAGGCATGAACTTCTTCTTCTTTTTTCCTAGCTACAAAAAGAGACCAGACCATAGTGGGTCACCTGGACTACTGAGAGAATTTATCAGACACTTCCCAATCAGTCCTCTACCAACCCATCTCCACTTTGCTATTAGTCTTCCCAAAGAGGATTTTTAAGGTCAAAGAAGAAGGAATACAGAAAAGCAGCACCATGAGGTGCTGATAAAGCATTTACATGACCAGGTGGGTATTTGAGGGACAGCTCTAAATTGGTTCCATTCTTTCTTAGCAGGGAGGCCCCAGAGGTTGGCGATGGGCAAGTGTCACCATCCTCTCAGAATCTTTCCTGAGGCCCCCCAGAGCTCTGTATCATTGCCCCTACTATTCAATGTGTATACGAGGCCACTGGGCAAAACTGTGTACAGTGAGGTGTTATCAGTATGCTGATGAAACTCAGCTCTACCTCTCCTTCTCTTCTGACCATCATCCCACAGTCTCAGTTCTTTCCTAGTGCCTGGCTGCAGTCAGGGACTGGGTGCAGGTGAACAATTGACACTGAATTTAGATAAGCCAGAGATGATGGTGGTGGGTAGACCACTTAACTTAGTGGGAACTAGGACACACTTATCACTGATGGGATCCAGTCTCCCCTTGTTGCTCAGGTTCACCTTGAGATGCTCCTGAATCCTTTGCTGCACCTGGATCTTCAGGTGGTTGATATAGCTTTCTCCTGCTCCATCTAGTAAGAAGGCTGTAACCCTTTCTTTCAGACTCTGATCTGTTCACTGTCAACCATACCTTTGCAACCTTAAGGCTAGACTGCTGCCATGTATGGCTGGCTGCCCTTGAAAACCATCCAGAAGCTGCAGCTGGTGAGGACATGGCGTCCTCTCTTCTGACAGGAGTGGGTCACCAGGAACAAATAACTCCAGTGCTCCAGAATCTGTACTAGTTCCCAATAGCTTTCCAAGTATAATTCAAAGTTCTGGTTTTGACCTATAGGGCCCTAAATATTCTTGGCCCTACATGCCAAAGGGACTTTGCCCCTTATGCCCCATGGTGATCCCTAAGGTCAGCAGAGGGCAACCTCCTCCACGTACCATCAGTAGGTCAGTTCTGGTTGGTAAAAATGTGAAGGAGGTCATTCTTGGCAGTTATTTCCTAGCTCTCTGGAATTCTCTCCCTCTTGAGACTCAGCAGAGCCCAAACCTGGACATCTTTTGTAAGTTCTGTAAGACTTCCTTATTTGGGCATTTACCAACCAAACCTAGGACGAGATGCTGTTTGGGAGTCTCTGTTTTATCTTGATATTCTAGTTCCCTTTTAAGTTGTTATTGTTCTCTTGTCACTCTCTGTTTTTTAAGTTATTCGGCTTGCTTACTTTAAACCACCCTGAGCCTTTGTTTAGATGAGCAGCATGTAAATCAAATAACTGACTAGGCCAGTCACACTCTATGTGGCATGCTCTCCTTCTTTTCCCATGGCTTTTGCAGTACTTTCTGCCTGGTAGCTTACCTTCAGCAAAAGAGATGGAGAATGCTCACAGCCTGACCTAGTCCCTAGCCTGGAAATTGTAGGATTTGTAATATTGAATGAAATAGTTTGAATGTTTGTAAAGGTTGCCCATTAGCTAGTTTCAGGAAGAAGATAGGATTTATCTCCTTATCTAAGTCATTGTTTTTGGGGCTACGTGAAAAATGTCCTGACTTCACTTAAAGCCTTAATTTAAATTGTATCTTTAGAAATCTTTTACAAAGAAAGCAAATATCCTGAGTTCCGAGACATCAAAGCCTAGGGCCTTTTAACCAAATTGGTAAGAAAAGGATATTTACAGTGATATGGAAGTCTCCCCAAGAATAATTTAAAATGCTCAACAAAGGTAATTTCAAAAGAATCTGTTGAGTAAGATCCGAGCCCAAATTTGGGAGTAGTGACAAATTGAGTAGGAGGAGCCCACTGACAGCAGCTCACTCAATAAAAACCTGTAACTTACTGTCCCAATTTGGAGGTGACTTCACTTGCAGAACAACGAAGGAAGAATCGCAAGTGTAGCCCGGACCAGATTGATCACCTGACCCAACCTTTCCGTGAACACGAATCTCTTAGTTCACGCTGAAGCCGCGGAGCGCCCGAAAGGGACTGAAGGAAGGGGACTTAGTCCTATCACTGCTGAGCCCAGCTCATTGAATCATATTGCTGAGGCCAGCCTATTGAACCATACTACTGAGGCGAGCCCATTGAACCGTACTACTGAGGCCAACCCATTAAATCATACTACTGAGGAATGAAACCATATTTTGGTATTTGGCTTCTCGGAATTCTAGGATTGTAAGTATATTATGAAAAATAATAGTATTGATTCAAATTTAACTTTTAATTGTAATTGTAGTTGTTTTTGTAACACTAATTCTTATAGCATTGTTTGGGAAGGAAGTGCATTCGGAGCATTGTTTCTGATATATGTAATTATTGTGTTTTTAATGTTTGTGGTGTTTCTTAAAGCTAAGCAGTGTTATATACGTAGCAAAGAGTTTTAAAATAAAATTGTGTTGTATGAATTAAGTGTGTAATCATTGTGAAATCGTGCAATCAGCTAACTACTCCCCCAGCCAGTGCATCAAAATGAATCAGTAAACTGTGTGGGATTGTCTCTATTCCATAACCCACTAGAGACAGGATTTTCCTGGGAAACAGCAGATGTGAAGTCAAAGTCTTTCAGGCTCACTGTTGCTTAGAACCTAGCTCTCCAACTTCCTGGGCATGTGTCCTAACCACTAGGCCAGAGGCCCCTCGTCACAGTGCTTACTTTACATTGAAGTCAGAGCTGCTGTAAGCTAGTTATACTGGTCCACCCAGTCCTCTCCCATGTGTGACCAGTAGGACATGACTTGACCGAAGTGTATATGTTTTCCTATTGAGAAAATAGGAGTGCTATGTACCACCCTGGCAGAACAGAGTATCTCTAAGGCAAGCCAAGGGAGGCATAGAAGACTCTAGGAACCAGGCACTGGAGCCAGGCATGACAAACTGATGTCTGTTCAGAGAGAATAACTGGACATGGTTGTGATACCACGTCTAACAGCCTTCTAGATTTACCTCTTTTTTTCCCATTATATCCTTTCAGTAGCCTGAGAAGTTATCAGACAATTCTAACACTCACCTCTACAGAAAGTGTCTTTCCCAAAGAAAACAAAATAGGATGCATGTTGAGATCAGGATCCTTGCGAAAGCAGTTCGGTTTTGCATGGTGCTGGTTATGCAGGTGATTCCACCAACTGGCCACCATTCCCTATAGGAAAGTCAACAGCCAAAGGACTTAAACTATCGTGCTATCAAAAATGCATTTTGCCATTTATTCACTGATCCAGGAGAGCTGCAGAACATTCCCTCCCTGCTTCATTTAGAATAAAATCCCCCAAAAAGGATGCCGCCTGAATCTAGGGCTTCCCACATTTGCTGAACAATTCTGATCAGTTCTGCAAAGCATTCCCATGATTGACACATACCTTCTGAACACCCATTACAAGGATGTGAAGAAACCGGTTCCATGTAGTTTTGCTGATGACTGAAAAGTGCCCCAAATCATGTTGAAACCAATTGATCTGGGCCTGAAAGACAAAAGAATCACTGAGGAAAAAGAGCCAGGGCGATGTCACTGTGAGCTTCCCATGTATTCAAACCCAGAAACATCTTCCCCACTGTTTACTACTTAATACCACCCTCTGCATCCCACTTTGGGAAGAGCACAATCTGATATCCTGAGTACAAATCCTGAGAACACCCTTTCCTTTCACTTTCACTCTGCTGTCTATACATGTATTTTTGAACTAGTAAGGTTGCAGAGCATAAGACACTCTTTTTGTGGACAACAGTTGAGTAAGGGTCAGGGCTCAGGAACTTTAGTTGGCCTATAAAAAAGAAGTGTGCTGCTTCTTCTGAGTATTAGTAATTCCAAAGGGATGAGCTAGATATAGGAGAAATATCCAGATCTGTCAGTTCTGACAAGTCCTGAGCTCCAAAGCTCTTCATATTCCTATGGGAATACATGGGAATTTTGGCTTGCAAATGTGTACCATGAACTCTGGACAGAAAACAATAAGCCCCATTCTTGATTTGGCAGGAAGACTGCCATGAAGGAAGCCATCTAGTGAAATGGAGTAAGGAGGTAAATGAGCTGCCAATACCAAATCCACTTCCTCAAAGATGTATTTCATGTCCACTTCTTGGAATAGAATCACTTCCAGCAGCAGTAGTCTGCTCACACAAGCTCCTCTTTGGAAGGACTGGGACTGAAATAGACCAAAGCTCTCTAAACTGAGTACAGCTGCATGATGTCCCAAGATTTGAATCACAGAATCATATAAAATTAGGGATGAAAGGGACCTCAGGAGGTCTCTAGTCCAACCCACTGCTCAAAGCAAGACCAGCCCCAACTAGATCATCCCAGCCAAAGCTTTGTCTAGCTGGGTCTTAAAAACTTCCAAGGATGAAGATTTCACCACCTCTCTGCGTAACCTGTTCCAGTGCTTTACTACTCTCCTAATGAGAAAACTCTTCCTAATATCTAACCTAAACTTCCCTTACTGCAACTTGAGACTGTTGCTCCTTGTTCTGTCATCTGCCACCACTGAGAACAGTCTAGCTCCATCCTCTTTTGAACCCCACCTTCAGGTAGTTAAAGGCTGCTATTAAATCCCCTCTCAGTCTCCTCTTCTCTAGACTAAATAAAGCCAGTTCCCTCAGCTTTTGCTCATAAGTCACATCCCCCAGCCCCCTCACCATTTTGTTGCCCTTCACTTGACTCTCTCCACATCCTTTCTGTAGTGGGGGGCCCAAAACTGAACACAATACTCCAGATGTGGCCTCACCAGTGCTGAATAGAGGGGAATAATCATTTCCCTTGACCTACTGGCAAGGGAAGGTTAGATCATACTAACAGAGGTTAGCATGGCCAACACCCCCGTAGAGTTTACTGCCTTGTGTCAGGCAGGAAAAATCTGACCTTAAGGAAAGTGAGTTCCTTCAAACTTCCTTCTCAACATAACTACAACTATACTGAGCAATATGCATTATCTGCAGAGTTAACCAGCATCACTGTTATTGTGGTGTGATCACAGAGTCCTGGTCCTCTACATCCACTACAGAGGTCTAGAGAGACAGTAATAAAGATCAGACAGTCACTGGAAGGGGCACCAAATTAGAATCCACACTGTGGGGGCATGTACCTTTCTCTCTCACTACAAGGTGTCAAAAGGGAGTCTGATTCCTCTCTTTAAGAAACAAAAGAGGAAAAAGAAAGCAAGGGAGGAGTCCCCAAACTTCCAGAAAGTAGAGAGAGTCAGGGAAGACTCTGCAAACTGCAGCAAGGAAGAGACAACCTGAAATCCAGTGTAGCTTGGAGACCATAATGAAAATGACTCTGTTAGAGTAGTTTGACTGTGAGAAAGCAAGCAGCCAGCATCACTGAGGCAGAAGGTTTGAGAGGTTCCAGATGGTTTCCGGCTTATCAGACAGAACAAAAGAATATCAGTAAGTATCCTTGTCTTTGCCATGCAAGAATCTGGAGATGATATTCTACATGCCCTTCACCTCTCTGTGGAGAAGAAGAAAGACACTTTTGATGCATATTTTATAGACAGTCCAAATGTTATATATGAAATGGCCACGTTTAATAGGAGAGTCTAGGAACCAAGGGTTTTATCACTAAGGTCCACACAGGGACTGTCTACACAAGATGCTTTACTGCATATTAGAGCTAATCTGCACAGCAAGCATCTACATCTGCACGTGCAGATGCTTACTGTGCAGTAATTAGTTCTAATCATGAGTAAATTTCCTACCTGCAAATGCAAGTAGCAAATGTACTCATGATTAGTAACTGAACAGTAGCACACATGTAGATGCCTAACATGTGCTCCCAGTCAGCTTCCTGCCCCGAGGAGCTGCCTGCTGCTAGGCCAGGCTCTGCCACTGGATCCCAGGCAGGGACAATGTCCCCCTGCCCTGCCAGCAGGGAGCTCGCAGCTCCCATTCTGTAGTTGCAGGGCTGGGGCTGAAAGGTTCTTATCTCCCAACATCAGCTCTGCAGTCCTGGGGCCAGCACTGGGAGATCCTTCTCCCGCAGTGCCAGCTCTGTGGTCATGGGGCTGGCACTGGGAGATCCTTTAATCACGCAGCCCAAGCCCCATGGTTGCAGGATCTAGGCTGGGAGATCTCCACAATCATGGAGCAGAGGCTGGGAGCTCCCTAATTGCCAGGGCAGGGGGACTTTTTCCATGCCTGGGCTATGGTGGCGGAGCCTGCCCCAGCAACAGCCAGCTCCCGGGGGGCAGGGAGCAATGTCCCAGCCCCTGCCAAGAGACAGCTGTCTCCTGGACTATCAACCAGAGGGAACCTAGAGCTCCCCCTAGCTGCTGCAGGGGCCCATTGCAGGGCTGCCAGGAGTGGAAGCGGTTTGCCACTAGGAGCAGCAAATCTGCTCCCACGTGCTTGCATGTGTAGATGTGTGCCTGAAAGAGTTTACTCTCGAGTAGTTTACTTAAGAGAAAACTGCTTCCAGATTATTTGCACATGTAGACATGCCCACTACAGCTGAACGCTGCTATTATGCAGTTCTGAAAGAAGAACTCATGATAAACAAAACTATTGTGGGCACCAGAGACACCAGCTTATCAGTACAACTGCAGTTGGATCCAGAACTCACACTCACAAAAGCTTTAATGAAAGTTAAGATGAGAGAAGCAATAAAGATACAACATGAATGAATTCCATGACTGGTACATTAGACATGTACAGAAAACTATATCAGATAAATGGATACAGTCCATGTGCATCACATGCATAGTGAGTGAAAGTGGGAGGGCTACACCCCACTTGCCCCATTACTGGATCCACAACTAGTTGGACTTTTTAATTCAAAATAGATACTGGAGCTGTAGTTACTGCAATGACTACAAAAGAGTACAATTGATCCTAGGATGGATAGCTGCAGAGAGCAGATAAAATTCTGCAAGGGGTGACTAATACTAGAAGTTTGTAGCCAGTTCAAGGGAAAATTGGAGAAAAAAGAAAATTCCGTTACAGCCTAACTACATGGTGCAAGAGTGTGCAAGAGTTAAAAGTTCTCCCACTGGATGTGGTACTTCCAGTTAGGGTAAAAATAGTTAAGCTAAACCTCCAAAAAAAGGAGCTTGTGAAAAGAAGGCTTCACTGACTGCTGAATGACCTGATAATAAAGGTAAAAAAATAAAAACACACTTAATGATCAAAGAAGCTGATCCAAAGAAGGGAGTAGCAAAAGCTGTAGCTGGATGACTTGAGAAGTAATGTTAAAAGTAAGAGATGTTAATAAGGGAAAAATAAAAAGAACCAAATTTGGCAAAAGAGACAAGTACAAATAGACATCTTGATAAAAAGACAGTTAAACAGTGTCATAATACTAGGGCACTGCAAGTACAGGTTCTGCAAGACTTGTTTTTCATAGTGACCTTGCGGGGGGAGGGTGTACCTGAAAAAGGCAAGTTTCACTAAGTTGGGCTGATTGTTAAATAGCCCAGCTGGTGTACTGCCCAAGTGACAGTAACCCTGTCTGATCTTCCATATCCAAACACAAATTTGAGTCACTCTTTCTTCATTGCCCCAGGAGACTATCTGCAGACAGCAGCATCTTAGAACAAACAAATGCAAACAGCATGAACACTGAGAGTGACAATGAGCAAGAGGTCACCTGAACATCCCCATGCCTCAGACCAAAGCTGGGATTGCTAGCAGCACAAGGGCCAGGTCTAATAGAGAAAATGAATTCAATTAACAACAAAGAGAAACCATACAAAAAATGTGTACTCATGTTTTCACAGGTCTGAGGAAGTTTTGATGATGTTTCCCACATGATGATCATTTACATGCTGTTTTGAGATGCTTCCCACAATCTGGTCTCACTTTAAATGAGAAATATAAATGTGGGAAGGCAGAGATAATGTGTTAGGCATAACATTAGCCAAAAATGAAAGTCAGTCAGACCTGGACAAAGTAAAGGCATTACATGCCTTACCTGGGCTCAAAGACCTTCCTGTCATAAAATGATTATTGGATATGGATGGGGACCTAACTAAATTGCGGCAGACATGTGCTACGCAGCAGCTCCTTTAATATTGCTCCTTTTGCTGCCCATCCCCTGTCCTTCCACTGACTGGCAGAAGGGCCCTGGCAGCCCTGCCACTCTCCACTGATCAGCTGGGAGGCAAAAACCACAGCACATTTAAAACCATGGTTTTTGCCTCCTGACCAATCAGCAGTGAGCAATGCAGCTGCCAGGGCCCCTCAGCCAATCAGTGGCAGGGCTGGGGACAGAATATGCAGCAAGAAGATAAACATTAAAGGAGCTGCTGTGCAGTGCACTTCCATCACAATTTAGGTAGGTCCCTATATATGGCCAAACAGTTAGGAAAATTTTTACCAAACTTAGCCCAGCTAGCAAAACTATTTCCTTAATTTCCTTAATAGACTCAATATGTGTGTAGCATGAACTGATCGAATGTAGCTGATGTTAACATAGAGCATAATAGTAGTGAACTGTAACCATGTTAGTCTTGTCCTGTAAGTAACTTGAAAACTCCATTTTGTATTCTTTTGCTTGACATAAGTGAATGAACTCTGCATGTCCCTTATGTATGAGTATATGTGAAAGGGTGAATGGTGAGAGAATGGCATAGAGACAGGAAAAGAAGATTTAACTGTGTTTGTAAGCAACAAGGCGCCAAACGTGTAAGTTACCAGTCAGTAAACTAATTAAAAGATGGCTGAAGAATCCCTTTGAGGCCTAAGGCACAAAGGAGATAACGAGGAGAAGGAATGCACACATCCTGCCAGATGGACAGCAAGGACACTCCAAGGCTGAGATACCAACTTTTATAACCAAACTGACCTTGGGCTGTGATGAGTAGAAGGTGGATGAGAAACAATTGCAAAAACAGAAAATGGGTATGAAAAAACGCCAAAGTGCTAAACAAAGGATGTCAATCCCAATAAAAGAGGATTCTGGAATATACCAGCTTGGGTGAGTCTCTCTCAACTGCTGCTTTTTCGGAGCACAGACATGTCTGTTCACCCTGCTCCAGCCTGCTATCTGCATCTTCTCTCAATAGGCCTGGGCCAGCCACCCAGTACTTCTATTGAACAACTGCTGCTGGTAGCTATAATATCTGAATGGAATGGTTGTTTTGTGTTTGTGTATGTCCGAGTGTAATGATGTGTAGGATGATGTGTGTGTATCTGTGTGAGTGGTGTGTCTGAACCTCTAGGTCTAATTCATATCATCAATAAACACAGCATTTTGCCTTATCCCCCTTTATAAGGTCTTGCTCTTGATTTGATAAATTGGTAATTCAAAATAACATGTGGGTCTGAGGGAGTGAACAACAAAAAGTGTTCAATACAATCAAGAAACTACTAGCCTCACTGCCTGTTTTGGCACAGTATTCAGTAAGCTCCCCAACAGTACTAAAACAGATGCATCTTCATATGCTCTAGGAGCAGAGCTCATTCATACATAGCCAGAAGGACACCAGAGTCCTGCTGCATTTATATTAAGATGTCTTACAAACACTGAGCAGTGCTACACTTAAGTAGAAAAAGAAGCTTGGCAATTAGCTGGGCCTGTGAATTACTTAGTTCTTACTTGCTGGGCCTAAAAATTAAACTAAAAACAGGTGACAAAATCCTGGTGGCATCATTGTCCTTCCACCCACGGTTTAGACATTTCAACTACAACATTTGCGATTTTCATTCAACATTGAACATATCATATTTTCTCACATACACACACTCCAGAATAAAAAATACACCTTGGTTTTGAAAGGCCAAATAGAGAAGAAAAGATCTTTTCTTGCAATAAGTAATTGAGTAGCATCACCTAGGAAGCTGAGCCTGCTCATTGTTCTGCTTGCTATGAGTCATGTGCAGATGTCACTTTTATGGAGTAACCAGCAGAAATTGTTCTTACCATACATCTCATATATAATTCACACTGATATGTCCAGCATCTTGTTTGGGGGCGGGAGGGGGATCTGTGTGTTGTTTGCAAGAAAATACAGTATGCCAGGAAAAATGCTCATAACTTCAGACACTCTATCCAGAGCATCATTTAGGCAGCCACCAACTTTAAAGGAAGACCATAGAATCATAGAAAATTAAGGTTCGGAGGGACCTCAAAAGGTCATCTAGTCCAAACCCCTGCTCAAAACAGGACTGTCCCCAATTAGGTCATCCCAGCCAAAGATTTGTCTAGCTGGGTTCTGAAAACCTCCAAGGATGGAGCTTCCACCACTTCTCTGGGTAACCTGTTCCAGTGTTTTACTACCCTCCTAGTAAGAATTTTTTTCCTAATGTCTAACCTAAACTTCCCTCACTGCAACTTGAGACCAGTATTCCTTGTTCTGTTATCTGACACCACTGAGAACAGTCTGGTTCCATCTTCTTTCAAACCCACCTTCAAGTAGTTGAAGGCTGCTATTAAAGCCCTCCTCAATCTTCTCTTCTCTAGACTAAATAAGCCCAGTACCCTCAGTCTTTCCTCATAAGTCATGTGCCTCAGCCCCATCACCATTTTTGCTGCCCTCCACTGGACTCTCTTCAATTTTCCCACATCCTTTCTGTAGTGGGGGGCCCGAAACTGAACACAGTACTCCAGGTGTGGCCTCACCAGTGCTGAATAGAAGGGAATAATCACTTCCTTTGGCCTACTGTCAACACACCTATCAATGCAGCCAGTATGCCATTAGCCTTCTTGGTAGCAAGGAGACACTACTTGCTCATATTCAGCTTGTTGTCCACTGCAACAAGGTCCTTTTCTGCAGAGCTGCTGCCCAGCCAGTCAGCCCCCAGCCTGTACTGGTGCATGGGATTGATCCATCCTAAGTGCAGGACTGTGCATATATTCTTCCTGAACTTCACAAAATTTCTTTTGGTCCAATCCTCCAATTTGTCTAAGTCACTCTGAATCCTAACCCTATCCTACACCATATCTGCTATGCACCCCAGCTTGGTGTCATCTGCAAACTTGCTGAGTGTGCACTCTATGCCATCTTCCAGGTCACTGATGAAGACATTGAACAAAACCTCTCCAGCACCAACTTCTGGGGCACTCCACTTGATACCAGCTGCCAAACAGACATTGAGCCATTTATTACTACTCTCTGAGCCCAATGCTCCAACCAGTTTTCTATCCACCTTACAGTCCATTCATCCAGCCCATACTACCTTAGCTTGGCTGAGAGAATGCTGTGGGAGATTGTATCAAAAGCCTTACTAAAATCAAGGTACACCACATCCACCAGTCTCTCTGCATCCACAGAGTCAGTCACCTCATCATAGAAGGCAATCATGTTGGTCAAGCATGATTTTCCCGTTCGTGAATCCATGCTGACTGCTCCTAATCACCTTTTTCTCCTCCAAGTGCTTAGAAATGGATTCCTTGAGGATCTGCTCCATAATTTTTCCAGGGACTGAGGTGAGGCTGACTGGTCTGCAGCAGGGAGCACCGGCCATGGGTGGGGGGGCGAGGGGCCGCTTTTCCCTGCGCTCAGTAGCAGCTTCTTCCCTGCTGGTGAGCAGGGGGTCAGAGATGTGCGCTGCCCCCCCGCCTGTACTGTGGGACTGGGGGCCACTGGGCGTGAGCGGGCATGGGAGCCAGCAGGAGCACAGCACCCGCACCATTGTCCCAGGGCCAGTGCTGGCGGGGCCCAGGCCAGCTCCTCGCTCTCCCTGCTGGTGCAGCCCAGCCCAGCTCCACAGACCCCTGCCAGCCTGTGCCCTGCTCTGGGCCCCACCAGTGCTGGCCCTGGGACATTGGTCCCAAGGTGGTGACCTGGGGGCAGGCACCTGTCAAGAGGTGGGGCTACCCATGGAGCCTTCAACAGCTTGCCAAAACTGGGTAAGCGGCCCTCCTCCCAAAATAACTGCCTGCCCCTGGTCTAGGTAGAGGAAACTATAGGGAAAATACCTGGAATTATACCACATACTGGTCTCACACACGCTGAAGAATGGAATAGCCCATAACTGTGGTGGTGATTTGCATAAATTACCTGGGCAGTAACAAACAGTGCCATACCAATGAGGAAAGGCACTAAGGATGAGCCAAAGTACCACACAGTGAGCCAGGAAGCGGCATCCAGTACAAGGATGTGCAGGAAAACCAGGAAGAAAAAGAAGTAATTAGGCTTCAGGAGTCCCATCCTCTCAACAGTGGCACGCAGCTCACGGAAGTCCTCCACCAGCAGTTTCTGTTGAGACATACAAAATTACTGCACTGTCTGTGCACAGAGCATCCTTCAGAGCTGCAAGAGATATTCTACTGCCTTGTTTCTCCTCCTGCGTAGTTCATTGTAGCAGAGAGGGTACAGAATTGTTAACAGCCATTGGTATACATGAGGGTATATGTTAGTGAGGAGTTCTGAGTGGGGTCTCAGTGACATAGAATGAGCCGTGTAAACCACTTGCAACTCCATGTGAAGTGTATGTGATTCCAAGATCTTTTCATGTATTACCAGCCTAGATGAGCACCTCAGAAACTCCCATCTGTGATGCAATGCTGAATGCACAGTATATTGGAGATCACAGCTGCTGGTCCATAATTTTTTTCCCCCATAGGAGCCCATATCCCATCCCACATCTGGTTCTCCAGGCACTCACATTTTTGCTGGGCTCAGAGGTAGGTTGATCTGGTGCTAACTCTCCAATCTGTAGTGGTTTCAAGTATTTTTTCACGAGCTCCTTATCTTTGTGGAAGGCAACAAAGGCATCCTGAGAAAGACAGAAGGGCCTGGGGTGAGAAAGGAAGACACAGGCCAGATCCTATGCTGCTCAGTGCTTCAGACAAATAAGTCCTAGCCCCTTCAATGCTGATGCTACAGTTATTCTTTACTTCCACTGCTCTGTGTGGCCCTTTACTAGTGAGTGTCACCTATGTCATTACACTGAAAGCCACTCCTCTAAGATACTAACAAATCCTCCTCGTAAACAAGACAACTAATGAGAAGGTAGTTGCAGTAACTGAGACAGAAGATGATCATCAACACAGAACATAGGCGACTGGTGGGGCCATACAGGGAGGCACATGCCCCGCCTGAGATTGGCCGCTGATGATGCCAACGCTGGCTTCTGCGGGTAGTCACTCCTCACCACCCCACTGCCACCGCTGCCGGCTTCTGCAGGCAGTCACTGCTCACCACCTCCCCTCCCCGCCTCCTGCCGCCAGCTTCTGTGGGTGGTCGCTGCTCACCAACCCACCACCACCGCTGCTGACACTGCTGCCCACAAACTGTGCCCCCAAAGTCTCAGGAGGGACCAGTCACCCATGATGCAGAATCTCCAAAGCAGTGTGGATTGTGGAGATCCCTCTCCAAGCACTTCATAATTCCAGCTCTGCCTATAGCAGGAACTTGGCACCTGAGTTTTTGAAGAGCATGTGCTAATGGAACTTTCCACTGGGACAGAGAAGGAGTTCTTCTCCTACTGCTACTGTGTATCCAAATACTAAAGCAGAACTAGCACCCATTACCAAATGCAAGTGGCTGGAAGATGGCATCTGGTTCAGGCTGCCACAGACCCACCCACTGGGCACATCCACGCAAGATGCTTATTGTGCATTAGCCTAAAAACACTGTGCAGTAATGTGGTGGTTAAAAAACATGCTAATAGCTTACTGCACAGTGTTATTAGGCTAACACATAGTAAGTGTCAAGAAAAAGCCATGCACCAGTGCTACTGTGCAGTAACTCTAGTGACTGAACATTTTAAGTAAGTACTAAACAAAATGCACAGTATATAAGGTGCATTAATGAATGTGTGGGCCCACTGTAATACACATTCATCATGACCTCTTAGCTGAAACTCCTGCTACTCTTCTGGACCACTCTGAAAAAAAGCTTCTACCAGTATAACATAGCCTCATGGTTAGCAAGACAAGTTTCATTGAACAGATTACCTGGGTGATCCTTTCTCTGTTGAATGCAAAATCCAAGATTTATTCCTGATGTTCTATTCCCTGCTCAAGACCAAACCTAGCAACATGAGAAGCACGTCCTAATCTTTGCCTTCTCCTCTCTCTCTCGCACATATATTTAGCAACCATTGATCTTTCTGGATCATGGTGTATGCATGAGAGGTCACCCAGACCTTTGATGCATATGCCTAGACAGGAGTTTTTGGAGGAGTGGAGGCTGCCCAGACCTTCCATCACCTCTTTAGGCCAATGAGACAGAATCCAAAGGCCATCTGGGTCCAGACATTTGGTGCCTCTATGGCTCAATCATCTAGTTTGAGGATATTCAACCCTTAGCCCATGGAACCATGTAAGGTCTATGAGGCCCCCCATGAGTCCAGAAATTAATACTGCCACAATTTCTACACTGCTAAATTTCCAAGCCCTAGTGGCCAAGTGACATGACCCTGTGCATAAGGCACAGCCTGGCACAGGATACAATCCAGTTTGTGGAGCTGAAGCCAAATTGTGGATCTGGGGCTAGTGTTAGGCCAGCTCTGTGTATCAGGTCAGGTCATGGCCCCATGTGCTGGATCTGACCCATAGACCAGATCTGGCCCACAGACTGACCCTGCACCACTCATCCAGCCTGCAGAGCCAAAAGGTTGGGCACCACTGACCTAGCTTGATCGCCTGCATACCAGAGATCATAGAACACAATTCCTGCATCTACCTATAACTTGAACCACCCAGTATTAATATGAAGACCTGAGGGGACCAAGATCCCTTTTATATTAAGGCCTTGTTACACATTAATTTTAGGAGGCTCCTGGAATTTTTAATCTCTTGTCCAAACATTAACATCTGAAACTAATGTTAAGCACCATTTGGGTGGCTTAACATTATGCTATTTCAGAGCAGACTTATTTCTGATCTGTGTTACCTAGCTCATGATTCATACATGTGTGGCCAACTCCCCACAGATGAGCCACCCAAGTTGCATTCCTCCAGCATCCTGGGATGCAGTGTCTCCTCCCTACCCTCCCGTTCTATGTGGACAAACTTTCCATTCCCTCAACTATACTTCCCAGCAGGTGGTTTTGGTTCCAATCCATCTCCCTCTCCTGCCCCTATGTGTGTGACCTTTCCACCCCCCAGGGTTCAACCCTGTGAAACAGCATACAGAGCACATGCCAACTAGTCAGGTCTCAGGGCACAGACAGGTCCAGGAGCGGGGTCCAGGGGGTTGGGGGAGAGGAACAAGGTAGGGGCCAGATCAGGTTCCCATGAGCTGGGGTTTCCTTCCTGGGACAGGGGCAGTATCTCCCCCAAAAGTGCCTTCTCTAACCACTTCCACCTACCAGCCACCCCAGGGAAGCACAATCAGCACCTCCCATTCCCCCCATCCCAAATACCAATGTATTAAAACATGAGACCTTCTTTAATTTACCTCTTTATTTCTTTTTAACCTTTTCTTAACCTTTTTTTGATCCTTCAGTGGCTGACTTGCTTTACTTCACCACCCTTCCCCATCCCCATTTCCTTTCTATCTCCCATTTCATTACCCATCCCCATCCCATTAACTCTCTGCCTCCCAGCTTCAAATTCCTGCCCCCGTCCCACCCCAAACCATCTCTCTCATGCTCCCACGAAGAGCAGGGGAACAATCCTGCCTTGGCTCACCAGCCCTCTAATGGAAAGTCACAGCTGTGCAGATGGGGGAAAGTCAGAGAAGGTTTTTAGCCTTAAGGTGCAGCTGCTTTGAACACCAATCAACATTTGAGCCTCTCAAAGAAGAACATGTAACAAGGCCTTTAGTCCAGTCAGTAATTACCCACGTTGGAAAAAGTTGTACCTGTTTCCATTCTGACTAACTAACTTCAGTCTCTGGTGACTGAATCATTTAATGCCTTGAGAGTCCTCAGTCAGCAGAAAATTTCTCTATAAATTGGCACTTGTGCATTGTGATCAAGCCATCCCTTAATCTTCTTTTAGTCCAATTAAATGGCTTGGGCTTTTTAGTCTCTTACTCTGAAGAAGTTTTCTTAGACAGTAAATAGTGATTCTCTGAACCTTTTTTCAGTTTAGTTCATTTCCTCATGCTGTGCCCATTCCTCAGCATATGTGTAATTTACAGATAAAATACCCATCCCTTTAAAATGCAGAAACAAAACAATTGAATGAGACAGTGCAAAAGTGCAATACATGCATGTTGCCCTATAGAGTGTTCTGAAATCTCATATCAACCCACGCCCTGGGAGGACACTGGAGGGAGCAGGTTCTATATTGTTGCCTCTTCAAGAAGTACAGCCTTATAATTTGTGCCGCCTACTCTAACGAGTGTTTGCTTGCTTTTAAAATAATGGTTTCTAACAACACATCTGTTTGAAAGCAACTTTCAGAGTCAGTTCCAGTGTAGAAAGTTATTTCACATCCAGAAGGAAATCCTACATCTTCGGCCCAAGTTCATGTTATAGTTTAGGCAAGGTTAAGAAGAAAGTACAGCTATTTCTAGACTTTGACTGGAGAAGAAAAGAAAAGAGTGCAAGGTAGCAGGTACCACCACCACTGTTTAGGCTAGCCATCTCACTGGTGATTGTGAGACTGACAGTCTGGAGAAGATAGGGGTTGTTATTGGGGGTGGAGTGATCATAAAGTCCTGGTCTTCTCCATCCATTGGAGACGACTAAAGGGACAATGATACACATGAAATAGCCCCTGCACATAAGGCAGGTTGCAATCCACACTCTCTCTCTCACACTACAAGAGTAATTTTGGTGCACTTGTTAGACCACGGTAGTCAATGGACCCCCAGGAGTACTCGGAAAGGGGCTATGGGGAACATGCGGGTGGGCAGGTACGGATTACTTGGATTCAAGTACAAGGGAAGTAAGCAAGGGAAGTAGATGGCTGCTGCAGATCTGGCTCCAGCTCTTCCCCCAACCCAGGGTTGGAGCAGCAGCTGCTGCCTGGCCCACCCTCTGCCTCTGCACTTTTTCTCCCTCCTACAGCCTTTGCTCCCACCCCACCTGCCTTCTACCTCTCCCCCCGCACAGCCTCTGCCCCCCAACCTGCCCTCCCTGTCCCACTTTGCTCTGCCTGCCAGACCCAAAGTGAGGACAAGGGGCTGGGGAACAGAGGCTGCAGAGTGGAGAGAGACTGGGGGCGGGCAGCAAAGGGGCAGGCAGTGTGGGGAAGGCAGGTGCCATTGGTAAAGCACGGGGGGCGGTAGGCAGCAGGGTGGCAAGTGGTGGGGGGCTTGTGGCAGGGGGTAAGGTGTGGAGGAAAATGGTCAAGCTGCTTGACTCCCCTACCGCCTGCCCCCCCTGCCTCCCCTACCACCTTCCCCCAACTCTTGTCCCCCTACTGCCTCCCAAGCTTTCCCCACTGCCTGCTGAATGTAAGACAACCCTCCCATAATTAGATTCCATGCCAGTAAAATTATAACAGGTTTATAAATATTCTATGTATAGAATCTAATTTTGGGGGGGTTGTCTTAAATTCATAGTCAACTTGAATTCAGGTAAATATGGTATTATTGTATTGCAATTGTGTTCAGGACCTCCGTAGCACCAGGTCCCTCTCTACAAGGCACTGTACAAACACAGAACTAAAAGCCTTGTTGGCTTTCATTCCTCTCAAAATAAGATCTATCTTAGCTGGAAAGAAAGGTAAGGAGAGAGTTGCACATGCCTCTCTCTGTACTGAAAGGCCTAGGTCATCAGCTATAGAAAGTTAAAAAATTCTTGTATAGCTTAGTTGTCATAAAGATACCTAGGTGTAGCGGGTGATGAATATGGTACCTTTCAGTGAAACGTTGTTTGTAGAAGAAAACTAGTCTTTCATCTATTTGTTTCACGGAAAGGGATCTAGCCAGAAGCTGCAATTTCTAGGTATAGTTCCACAATAGGAACTGGTCAGTGAACAAGTCTCTTCCTGGCTATTTGGGACAAAAGATAATTGAATTTTAAAGATCTTGCAGGCTACTTGTATTACAGTAGAACCAGAAGGAACTCAGAATGGAAGCCCCATTCGCAATGGAGTTCATACAGTGTCTCTTTCATCTTCCATCGGGTGACAGTACTAGCTCCAGTGATTTTATTACTGGGCAGTTCTGGTTTATAAAATACCACCTTCAATGTCCCAGAAATGAGGATTCAAGCATGCAGGGAAGAAGACTGAATGCTCCAGGAAACCCAGTGTCCATGCTTTTTGCCATGGGCAACTGGTGCCTTCTGAGTCGGAAGGGCACTTGCCCCCCCGCAGACACCAATTAGAAACTGGTGAGAAGGTCCTCCCATGGCCAATTGCACCGACTGGGGGAGGGAGTCCCCCCGCCAGTCATGCATGCTGACCCGGAAGTGCCAGCAGCGTGCCTGAAAGGGCCAGGGGCATGCCTGGAAGTACCAGCAGTGCTTCTCTTGGTGCCCCACTCCCCAGCCAGCGTTCTCAGGGGGGACAACAGTGCTCCCACCTGCCCCCCTGCCCGTTGCCTAAGCAGGGAATGATGACTGTCAGGGGGTGCACCACCACTCTCAGGGGGTGCACATGCACCCCCTATGTGTTGCCACTGCTTTTTGCTTATTCAGTATGAAAAGTGGCCTTCCAAAAGAGAAGTAGAGAGTGTTTCCATATAATTTTCCACCCACAGAAACTAGGGCTGTGCGAGGCTTTGGACCATGCTTCAGATTTGGAGAAGCTTCAGTGTCTGAAGCAACATGTGCAGATCAAAATGCTGGCTTTGTTAGGCTTCCTAAAGCAGTTCGGAGCTTCTGAAGCACTTTGGAAAAGCTTCGGAGCCACTTCGGAGATCCGGCCATAGGGTATGATGGGGAATCAAAGAAATATCTATAACTTTGTTGTTTTTTGTCTGATTTGGATGTAATTTTCAGGGATGATAGCCTCTGCTGAGAGAATGAAGTCTGCCAAGTCTCACAAAGATCGGTGTAGGGGTTTGGGGGAAACGGCACCACAAGCTGCTGACTCATATCATAGATGACCCT